AGTTTCCCGAAGCCCTCCGACAAAATACGCTCGCCAAAGAAAAGATAACAAAAATAGCTCTGGGAAAGAGTTTTAGGATTTCCAACTTTGCAAGTCAAAATTTGATCTCAATTACTTACACGTCACAAACTTTTTCTGTTCTAAGGAATCTTCCCTTTTTTTTGTTGCTTTTCGAATTCGAAATATCTGACTGAGGACGAATTTTCTGTAATTTCTTCTAGGTTCTCCATATGAGATTTTTTCTGATTGGCTCTGCGTCACAAAAGTTTGTTAAGCTGGCAACACCTTGATTCTGCTTCAAATGACATGAGACTTTCTCCGCATGCGATAAACTCATTTTAAGCGTGGAATAAAATTTAATGATTTCCGTAGAATAGAAGGCTAGCAATTTAAATAAGAAATGCTGCTTTTCTATAATTCCTCCTCCTTGGTTTGAAAAAAAAATAGCCACCGTTAAGCATATAGAAGTTGGCTTTTATTTCAACTAATGGACACGTATGTTGTCGAGGATCTACTCTGTTTTTTTCGATCAGTTTGGCTTAGTAGTATTTGCATCCTTAGGTCATTCATCTTTAAGTAATTTATCAAATAAGACAAGGAAATAAGTTATTAGCTGTGCCATCTGAAAAAAATCCTACAGGCAAAAATAAAAAAACAACATCCAAAGCTACAATTGTCTTCAATCTAAATACATTCAAAAAAGAAATGGAATTTGTGTAAACAGTGCAGCAACGGGTGACGTCTGTTAATCTAAAGCAGTAATTGGAAAAAAGGAATTGTAGTATGCGTGCAAATCTCATCAAAATTACCCATATCAGTCAGTATGTTGTTAGTACGACAATTTTTCTTCGCCTGATGAAAAAGTCATGTGTTTTTAACAAAATTATCCGCGGAATTATGACCCGACAACTGGTAATTATTTTTTTTGTTTGCCTTATGTGTTTTTCGGTTTTCTAGTAAAGAAAAACATAACATCAAGTCTGTCGTAGAAACATTGTAAATGTAAACAAAAGCAAGTGAAAAAAATTCCAGCTATGGAAATAAGTCACCTTTAAATGTGTTTGTATGACTTGATTTTGCGAATGGAACATAAAAAATTTTTTAAATCAGTGGTCATGTATGGGGAAAAAATACGGGTATTGAGTTTTTGTTAGAGATTATTCATTTAGGTCGGTGGATTGCGGGTAATTTCAAGTGATGATTTTCAGTTGTATCCGCAAGCAAATTGCCTTGGACTTCGATTAGCGTAAAAGCTTATAGGGCAAGCTGTTTAAATATTACTAGCCATTCCTTGGCTACATTCTCAGTAGGAAAATGGGAAAGTGAGAAGCATATGAAGGTCTGTGGCAAGCTGAAAAAAAATTACTTCGTAAAAATTATCTTCGCGGTCATCTCCAAACTGCAAAACATTACGCAGATTGAATATTCTGCTTCGGGAAGTACGTTACTGATATCTCAGTGAACCCGTGATATAAAGCAATTATCAAAATAGAAAGTGTATAGCACAGCTATTTTAACTTAACGGAACTTGATGTGTTCGTAATAAAAAAAAAAACATATAGCCCCAATGTCACATCATTTCGGCTAAGCTTGCAATATCATCTAATTCACTTACTGTGAGTAAAATTAGGGCTTTATCGGGTACTTACATTTCTCGGTTTTTATGACTGAAACAGAACTAATATTTCTGATGTAGATGACGCCTCGTATGCTGCAAGCAATGACCAATAGCTAGAGGGAACCGTTTACAAGATTTTGACAACTTGGTAAATTTGGAATACTCCATAGAAAAAGAAGGCCTCTTTGTGTTGACGAGGATAACCTCTGAACATACGACTGCGTATAAAACAACTGCGTACCTTATTTGCAGGGCAACTTCAAAGAATATTCATTCCCAATACAGGCTTCTTAAAAATTAACACGTCGATATAAATATCGGTTTCTTTTCTAATACTTGTGCGATGGACTTCGCCGAGAAGGAAGGACTACTCTTAGTCTGTTGTCACTGTGTTTAAACAGCTGAAGGAATTATACGGCCTCGCACAGTCTGAATAAAATTTGAAAAAGCTAATTTTAACGAACATGGAGATGTCGAACCAGCTGTCAACTGCCCTGAGAGAAATTTTGTTCATCATTTAGTTATCATGTTTGGTCCTGATTCCTACAATTTGCTTGACTTACTCGACAGAAAAGCTTGGTACTCATCTAACGTTTCGATTTGTCGATGCGATGGGAGTTTCTTCGGGGCGGTGCGGATGTAAAACAAAACTTTAATTAACAATGTTTGTGGACTTCTGACATTCCTCTTCAAAACGATGGCAGGAGTAAAAGACGACTTGATAATAAATTAAAGACCTACCACCTGAATTAACAATAACAACGGTAAACTGGTGGTCTGGAGAGTTTTACACAGAAAAGTGTTCGTGTGAACAAAAACGAAGCAAATCTCCCCTCGTTTACGGTTGCGTTATGGCTTGTTTTCACCTGTCCTCACCGATACGTTTTTCAACGCATACTGTTTTAAATGGTATCGAATGTTGTCCGAACTAAACGCACCAACACGATAATGGAATCGACAGCATGACATGCTTTTTTGACATTTTTTTTTGGTAAAGCTTCCGTCCATTTTCATCTGTCAGCCCTTAAAACAGATCGTTATCACAACGCTGTGTTAAGAAATATATTTTTCTTCGAAATATAGGGTGTATTCGAATGCGGCACTCTTTCGGGAAGCGCAATACGCCAAAGGGGTTTCTTTTGGCTTAATTTCCAACTGAATGTCATAAAACGTTTCCGAGGGTCAATAAATGTATTCAGTATTAGGTTATCTTAGTAACCGAACCCTTTCCCCACCCCCCCTCCCACCCCGCCCCTTCCCCTTCCCCCGCCAACCGCCTCACTAGATACTGGTTCCTCCTCAGCCATTTTAACCAGAGCCTGATCAGAGTCTTCTCTCGTTCCCAGGATGTTTGAGGCATCCTGTCAGAATTTTCCTCGGAATTATGACATTACCGTGTTTATTATCCTGTGGTGAAATTTTGTGAGGCAAAAGTTTCGAGAAAGGTTTGAGACTAAAATCAATGTCCTTTGTTATAATACACAATTCATCTAATCGATCCAATAAACACGGAGGCGAATGAAATCCCCTCCTCCCGCTCTTTGCAATTTTATTTTAAATATTCATTATCAGGCCTGTGCAATGTCTGTTTTGCATTTCAAATATTACACTATCTCCACGCATATTATTACTATTTGTTTGAGCGTTTGAGTAACGTCTGGATCTTTTAACGTGAGGTAGAAAAATTTTGCTCTGTTGCTTTCAATCCGTTAAAAAATGATCGTTGCCAGGAATGTCTTCAGATGACACTCCGAACTTCTCTTACTGTCGAAGTTACTAGTTAAACTGTTGGATATTTTGTGACTCGGTTCTGAAGTATTTGTCGCTCCACAGACGCGAGTTACAGCCGGCCAGGGCAAGTTATCAGAGACAACTGATGAGGTGACAGAAGTTTTGTCTACTTTAAAACTCATTATAAGAGAGCTCTATCTTATGTCGTGTTTAAAGAAGTACAGTTTACATATCAGCTCGAGATAGGTGTTTCCAACATAGTGTAAAGTTATTGCTTAAAAGTTATGGCGACCCGAGATATTGCGAAGAGCCAACTTCGACTTTCACGGACGAATTTTGTATCAATGTATCAATGATAGAGATTAAAGAAGGAGATGGATTCCTTTTTATTTCCCCAAAACTCAAAAAGACAAACTGGTTTCTGGTTTGGTTATTTCCGAGGGGGAAACAGACCACCCCCCGGTTTTCTCTTGGTTTTCACCAAGGTAATCGCTTCAAAATAGGTAAAATGTGTGAAGCTCTCACTGCAATGGTATTTAACCATTTAGTCTGAGGGTTTGCATACATATTATGACATCCTTAGTTAATATCTGACGCAAGTATCAGTTAATTTGATTATTAATCAACAGAGGCAAAAAATGACTAAGTTTTTAGACTTTTCGATTCATCCAAATATTTGACAAATTTGAGGTCAAATATCTCCCCTTGCCAGACAGCTACAACGCTTATTTTAATTACCTTTTATAATCCATCATTTCATCTCTCAAAACCATCGAAAAGACCTTTGGCCACTTATGTATTTTTGTCTTCGGTGCCTTTTAAATGTATCTCTTTAAACGTAAAATTTTCCATTCCTACCAAACATCTCGAACGTTTTTTCCACATTTTTAGCTTTCTTGATCAATCATCTTATATAAAGAGCTATAAAATTATAGGTTTATTTAGTCAAGTGACCACCTAGAGCCAGAATTTCGAAACAGGCGTAGTTGAGAGAAGCTTGTCACAGTCGCAGATTTTAAGAGACATCCAAGACAAAGATACGGTAGTGTCCAAAGATTTTTTTGATGGTTTTCCGAGATGAAATGAAGGATTATTAATGAGAATTAAAAAACTCTGAAAAACTCTGAAAACTGAAAAACTCGAAAAGTCTGAAAACACAGTCATTTATTTGCCTCCATTGATTGACAAACCGTCAATCAAATTAGCTGATACTTGCGTCGGATATTTACTAGGATGTAGTAACATGTATACAAACTCTCAGTGTAATCGGTTAAATACCATCGCAATGAGAGCTTCATTAATTTTACATATTTTGACGCGGTTTCCTTGGTGAAAACCATGAAAATCCGGGGGTGGTCTATTCCCCCCCCCCTGAAAAAAACCAAAACGGAAACCAGTTTGTCTTTTTGAGTTTTGGGGCAAAACCTTTAAATTGGCAAGGTTTCAATGAAATCGGCGAGATTGCATGTGGCAAGACTGCCTGGTGCTCTCGTGGACACACTCTTAAACCCAATTTTACTACACATTTTTTGCTGATGTAGTTAATTGAGTATTTCAGATTAGGCATATTGAAAAGAAAAGCTAGTGGCCTCTTGAAACTTCTTCAGTTCTCTGTTTCTGATTTTCATTCAATTGAACCAAGTTTTACTAAACATTTTTTGTTGATGAGAAGTATTAAAGTATAAGTGGTTTTCAACTCCTTCATCATCGCACTTCAAACGCGCCTTGACTCAGTTCAGAGAGGCTAGGAGTGGACCCCTTTCTAAAGTAGCTCTGTTTATTACTCACGCCATTGAACCACTTTGTCTACTTGAATAAAGTAACTGGAGGTAACATTAGAAAATCAATGGATATTCGACATATATTGATCACTCATCCTCTCTATGTATAAGTTGTAATAGTTTTCTCTCTTTCTCTTTGCAATCCACATCAACGTTCCAAAAAGTCTTGAATATATCTTTATAAAATTTGGGTTTAACACATTCATCGTGAAGAGCATCACATATGTCACATGCTGTATGTGTTAATCTCCACGTCCGTTCATAGACGAATTCTTTTTTCCATGTGAAGTATTCATTATAAGCAGTGTCATTTTTGTCGAGGTACAACAGGTATTCTGCCAAAGCTTTAACAGATGGAAAGTCTTGCACACTTATAAACGAGCCCGGAGGGACTACATCTGGAGTATAGAAATCTCTTGTCAGTGTTATAGGCACTGAATTCCAACCAAATGTACGCCAAAACTTCTCAGTTATGTAATCAGTACACACGCTGTTTTCAAATGCCAGATAAAATTTATATGTGCTGAAAATATCATCGCAATTGCTCGATAGCCGGCACTGATTGTCTTGGCCAAACTTTCCCGCACAGTGGCCATAAACATCAACTTTGATGTATTTAAGAAGTTTTTTTACGTACTTATCTCGAGTTTTCCCACAACTGGAAACAGCCCATAACACAGATTTGTTTTTCACAGCTGCATAGTCAGGAATTTTCGCTGGTCTCTCAGCTGACGGCAAAGGAGCGTAATGTCCATAAGGAAAGTGAAAATCGGACTCCCTTTTGAAAGTTATTGTCCAATTAAAGAACCCCTCCGGCCATGGAAAAAGGTTCTTTAAACCTTGGTCATTGACGATGGATTCTCGGTTAAAAAACGCCATTCTTTGCTGTGGAGACCGGTACTTGTGAATCTGTTGAATTTCTTTCAATGTAACATAACGTCGTATATCACGAGCATGAAAAATAACTAGATCACTTTTTCCTACATCGTTTATATCATAGGTTATGTGGCATTTTTTTGTCGGACATTCCCAAAGATACTCTTCCGTGGAGTTGGCTCCGGGCCATGGCTTCCTACCAAACATAGGAGTGTAGAACAAAATGGTTTTGTTGTCATTACTGAAGCAAGTTCGATTGGAAGCGATTTCTGTCTTGTTGCTCCAAAACGAAGGCTCGAGGAGTGGATAGCTTGTTTTATTCCACAGTATCATGATCGAGAAAAATGATGAAATGAAAAGTATGCCCACCAGTAGAGTCGAACGCTTCATGAAGCAAAGTGGTAATATTCTTTCACTGATTCTTGTTATGCACATTCCCAAAAGATTTAATGGCAAAAACACAGACTTGCACGGGTAGATCTTGCTGTTCACTTTGCAGGCTTTTGGCTGGCACGTCTAGGTCTTTCAGGAGACTGAGAGACAAATTAGAGAGAGTTTTCATGAGTGCATCAACGTTTATGACTGGAAAGCTTTCTTAGAAACATTTAGGCGCTAGGAATTTGTTAAAAGACAAAACTTGCATCTGCAAGAATTTTATTTATTTGCCATTCTAGCTTAAACAGGTTTTGGGAATATGAATGGAAATAATATGTAAGTTAGTGTGAACCTTGTCATATTATATTGCGATGAATAAAAACACGGAAGTCCAGAATGAACAAAACTGTATGTTTTCATGCATTTTTTAGGGAAGAACATCGCAAATTGACAAGTTATGGTTTCAACAAATTGCGCATCGTCAAACAATGGTAATAGGACCGAGTGGAGTCCAATTCGGTCTGTAATCATACGAGTAATTAACAAAATCGGACGACCACGAAGCGGGACTGGTCCGATTTGTTAATCATGAGTATGATTATAGAGAGAATTGGGCGACAGGACGTTGGATGGAGTTGTGTTACGTAGGAAAGTATTTTCGTCTGTGTGCTGCTTTCTTTGTTTTAGGTAACCTTCCTCTTCCGTAGAAAAGATCTCCCGAGATACGTTTCTCAAACGTTGTGATTGACTGCCCGCCAGCCGGGCACGGTCCCAAGTAGACTAAATGCCCGGTAGTCAGAAATTTCCACCGAAAGGTTCTTTCAAACGTCATAGGAATATCAGATGTTTGTTTAGAAATGTCAAGCGATTCCAAATATAAACCTAGTTTTTTTAGTGGACAAGTTCTCCGAGCTTGTACAGCAGTGCGTACGTTGGATAAAGTTGAAACAATCATCCTTGGTAATTTTAACGTTGATTATTCAGCAAAAAAAAAAAACCCTTACCCTTACACAGATAATTTCAAGCCCACAAGAGTCAAGGAGACATCCAAAAGTATAATAGACTTGATTCTAGTCGATAACAAGCGCAGAATAGTCTAGTGTGATGTTTTAAACTCGAGCATTAGTGATCACAATGCTATCTTTTGTGTGATGAAAGGAGGCGCTAAGAAATTACCGCCAAAGGTCTTTGAATATCGGTCTTTCAAAAGCTTTGAGGAGAAAGCATTCATTAACGACCTAAAACAAGTTCCATGGAGCGTAAATGAGGGAGTCGGTGTATTGCCAATACTGTGTTTCTTTGGGAGAAGCTCTTTAAAGATTGTGCAGATCACCACGCACCTATTAAATCAAGGCGCGTTAAAGGAATGCCAACTCCTTGGGTTTCTGATAAACTTTTGGAAGTGAGACGCGATCGTGACTTTCATCGAAGAAA